TCCATGGGCTGCAGGAGAATCTCAGCTCTGGCTGAGTCTGGAGCACCTTCTCCCCCTCTTTCTTCACTGCTCTTGGTGTCTGCATAGTTGTTCCTCTCACATATTCACACTCCTCTCTTCTCTGGCCATAATTACTGCTGCGCAATGACGTTTTTTTCCTTTCCTTTCTTAAACATGCTATCTCAGAGGTGTTACTACCATTGCTGATGGGCTCAGCCTTAGCCAGAAGCAGGTCCATCTTGGAGCTGGCTGGCATTGGCTCTGTTGGACATGGAGGAAGCTTCCAGCAGCTTCTCACAGAAAGCACCCCTGTAGCCCCCCCTCCATCAAAGCCTTGTCCTACAAACCCAAAACAACATGTTATCAAAGGAGGACCCCCATCTGTTGATCTGCTGCTCTTGCCTCTCTCTCACCTTCCCTGACTGTGCCAGCACTGTTTGTGAAAACCAATGGAAAAAGGAAGGCACTGAGACTTTTCTGCTGTAAGAAAAAAACATAATCAACCTCAGCCCAAAATACTTCTTACACTCCTTTTGACAACTCTAACTTCTAAAAAAACTCCAACAACTTATCCAGAAGTTGCCATATTTACACAAGAACAATGAGGAAAAGACAACATTCTACTTGACAACGTTTTCATTCTACTTGACAATGGTTTTTAAAGAAGCACATAAATAGAACTTTGAGAACAGCCATTACATGTAAAGATTAGTTGCTTTTGTGACCTTTACCTGATGTACGAGACACGGTGCCCACATAGCGCACAGTCCCGCAGTCGGTGCCACACGAGACTCTCCGACCCAGCGCATCGGGAGGCACCCAGGCGGTCATCCCGGGATACCTGGAGTCCGGGTTCTCGCAGACCTGCAGGGACAGAAGCGACGCCCTTAACACACGCGCAAGTCGCTGCTTTCACAAAGCCCCCTACCCTGAGCTGCTCTTCTCCCTCCCGGCGCCACCGGTACCGCTACCGCTCCCACATCCCATCCCGTTCCATTCCCCCATCCCGGAGCAGCCTCTCTGGTGCCGCTCCCAGCGGCGCGGGGCGCAGCTCACGCACGGGCAAGAGGCGCAGACCGGGCCGACCCTGCACACACGCCCGCTCCGCCCGGCTGCCCCACTTCCGCCCGGAGCCGCCCGGCAACAGCCACCCCGCCCCGCCCGGGCTCCTGGCGCGCTCCCATTGGCCCTGAGCCCACAGAGCCGCCCTGCCTCGGCCCGCTATAGGCCCACTCCCGCCTTCTGCCCCTCTCGAGTCATCGCCTTCAGGGGCAAACCGGAGCAGGGCGTGGCCGCCGCGGAGCTTCCTGGGTAACGCAGTTCGTCAAGGCGGCCCCTCCGCGCGGGTTTGCTGCCCCTGGACTACAGTTTCCAGAAAGCGGGAGCCCTGACTTGGCGGTGCCGGGAGGAGAGGCCGCCGCCGGTTGATGCCGCCGGCCCAGCCCGCGAGTGGCCGCAGACTTGCGGTGGGCGGTGAAGAGGAAGAGAAATTCCCCCAAGGAAGCGCCACCGTGTTGTAAAGCAGTGCGCGATGGGCAAAGCCCTGCAGCGCCGGTGAACCGGAGAGATTGCTCCGAGCCTGGGGCGCTCTCCCGGGAGGCAGCGATTGAGGAGAAGGTGAGCGGCAGCAGCACGTGCCATGGGGAAATCCCGAGCAGCTGCATTCCCTCGGTATTGAGCGCTGCTACATTTGTTGCTGCATTCATTTCAACATCAGCTATTTGAAAAAAATATCCCCAGAGAAGATGCAGGGGAGAGCTGTAACAATCAGGGAACGCAGCTTATAAAAGAAAAAAAATAAAAATCGAGGCGTCCACTATGTGTAGATTAACGCCTGTGTTCTAGTACCAGTCGCTGGGGAACAGAAGTTTAGCGAGAGCTCCTCGGTTTGACAGAGATAGGTACAAGAAGATCTAATAGCTTTCTCACAGGTTTGTGGTTATAAAACTGGACGTATTCTAGTTCATCTTTTTCATGTTTGTTCATCTCATGCGTTTCATACTTTAATGTCTCATAACAACTTAATTCAAACAATATGATTTGAATTTTGGGACCACGAGGACTGGAACAACCATGACAGTAAGTAATCAAGAAAACCTTTCAGTCCCATGCCTCTGCTTCTGTAACATTAAATGTGCATGGTCTTTTGGCAGGCAGTATATTTGTGCTCTTTACTCTGAGTTTGTGATAGTGACTGACTACAGAAATCAAGTACAGGTATTTCGTAACGCTAGTACATTCCTATCAAAATAATCTGGATAACGTGTAAATTCTTTAGCATGCCCAGAGCTTGCATCTTCAAGTAATAGGCTTCAAGAGCATGCTTTACTGTTTTGCATAAAGCAGCTGCTCCCCAAAGGGACAATCCAGCGAAGATCTCTGTGCCTTTAGCTCAGAGTCCTCCTTTGCCATAGGTAATGATGTGTTACTTCAGGCCAACTAATAGCTTTGGGGAAAAAACAGACACCCTAGTCCTTCTTTCACATCTTTAGTGGTGGTGGTGTCTCATCTGGGTTCCTAAGCCCACTCATCTCCCACAGAGGGCACCCTTGGAACAATCTGTTCCAGTTTAAAACTATGCTGAAGCTACATAGATAGTGGTACAAAAGTGATAGCAGGAACAACAGCACTAAGCTCCTCTCGCTCTCCATTTCTGACTCATCCACTGTTCCTGAGGACAAAGCTGAGAGCATGCCTCACTTTATGCTGTTATCAACAAACAGCTATAGTTCACCCTCTGCACTTGACAAGGAACAGGACAGTCCCAATGCCAATGAAACGACCAATTTAACATTTTCACCTTGTTACCTAGAATCGCAACTTCTGCAATTTATAAGCACCTAAGTAGAAATGGATTTACCTTCTAGATTTACTGAATGTTCATGTTGGTTGGTGTAAAATATAAGAGATTAGGTTTATAGCATAGTTTTTATATTTCTGGGAAAAGCAATGACAATTCCTCCTTATGGCTTTTATTTTGACCTGCACATTCCATCCCACCCCCAAAAAGAAGAAAGCAGTTAGCTACAGATCCTTCAGTTAAGGCCATAGAAAAATTGTTGGAGTTAGTTCCATGCTTTATGTACTAACTCTGCAATTATCAGAAATTCTATTTTTAAGAACTTTTTCTTGCCAACCCTTTTTTCCCCGTCCAATTTGTTCATAGAGGTTTGGTGTCAGCCTGGTTTTAATAACTTCAGTCAGTGAAAAGTTACGCCTCCCTCAGCTAGCAGAAGTTCACTGCAGAGTAACATACTAGATTGCAAGAGAACAGGCCAGTTTTTAATGTATTTTGAAATACATAAACAAAATGTATGCATTTGCCATTTTTCCTTTTTTACAGACTTCAGTAATTACTGAGTGATTAAGTAACTTCACACTATATGCTTTAGAAATATCAACTGAAACATTATGAAGAGAGTGAAAATTACCTACTGTGGTCAAGAGATGATGCAACGCCTTACTGTCAGCACATCATTAATATACCAACAGTATTTTCATGGAGTTCAAAAGCAGAAAATTATCCATGATTTCCCTTCACATCAGAGTTAGTCTTCTACACAAATTCACATCAGGTTTTGTAGTACTTTCCCTGAAAGTGTCACATTAGGTCTTCTTTGGGTATCCTCCATAGTTCTTTATGCTGTACTAAACCCACATGATCAGAAAATACTTTTTGAATGAGCTTATGGAGAACTTACTTGTTCCACAGAGTAGAGAGATGAAGAAAACTATCAGGATTAATGTGGTTTAACCTGAATCTTTATTATTAAGTTTTGCAGATAATATGCTTGAATTGAATTAATGAATCATGGATTACTCCTAGCCACACCTCACAAGGTGCCTTCTAAAGTAATTTTAAAAAATGCCACAGAAACGGTGAACACTGATGCTCACCTATGGTAAAGGTTATTCAGGAAGGATGTTAATGTGAGGTAGCAAACAAGTCAAATAGACATATGACAGATTACATTTCCCTGACTTCAAGAACAGAAAAATTATTAAGAGAAAGAAAAATACAACAATGAAACAATGTACTCTGTTTAATCTGTAGCTTTAATCAAAACCTTTAGATGATATAGTCAAATTAAATAAATAACTATCAGAATAAATAATTTTTAACTTGAATATCTCTCACAGTCTATTTGGAAAGCAAGAAGGGAAGCTCAAAGAAAGTAACCACACTCTTTTGCCTTTCCTAACAAAGTCAAGTAAATGCTGTAAAATGAGGTGAAATTACGAGGCAGCCTCGGGAGTCTAAAATGGGTTTTCTTATTCTCTCAAATACTTTCCCTGGCCTCTGTCTACCTGCCAGCTCTGACATTCATCAGACTCTTGCTGAGTGGGATAATTCATTAACCCAGACAAAAATTAACTTCTCTTCCCCAGGGCTAGGGAGTTAACTTTTTTCATAAAAAGACCTAACAGGCATTAGCACTAAAGCAAAATAGGTCTTGAAAGCAAACAGGTAGGAGAGGGAAAGTAGCTCAAGCTACACAGGACAAAAATAATTTATGGCAATATAAAATGTTACAGGCTTTAGCTTCCTGGAAAAAAAAGTTTCAGGCATTTCAGGACTGTAGAAAATCTTTGATTACTTTTGTGAAGGCATATGATGAACCAAGATTTACTGCTTCAAAAGCAGACCCAGACTATTTTGTTTGTCCAGGATCAAAAATGAGTTTGATGGTATTACGTATGCTGTGGTATTAGCAGAGAATAGAAATATAACTGAAAGAAGAATTACAGTGAAAGTACTGAGCAAATAATAGAAAGAATATAGTAAATATCAAACCTGAAATGTAAAACAATTAAGAAAGGACAAAGAAGAGCAACAGATGCTCTTGGACATGAATAAAATCCTGGCCCAATTCAGTGATAAAGACATATTAAAGTTCAAACCCCACAAATCCCATAATTTTATAGCATGCTGACATTTTAACAATAACTGAGGAAAGCAGCCATTACAACAGGAAAACTTTATAGCACATGCAGGCAAATTAGCAAAATTAACTATAGTTGAAACATAGAGAAGTGGCAACAGTTTCTTTCCCACTACTATTAACATTTTCAGGCTGTTTGTATCAACAACTGGCTGATACATACAAAGTTGCTCTTAGAACCTGAGTACTGAGTACAGCCTGAGTTCAGAGAGGAGAAAGACAAGCTATGTCCTCAGGAAGGTCTTGAAATAATGCCATTTTCATTATAATTGATGGGGAGAACATCAGCCTTTGAAATAGCAAAGCCAGATGTCCCATGCAATGGCTGGCTACTCAAAGACAGGTGACAGCATTCATTTACATCCAAGCAAGCACACAATAAAATAGACTGAGATGGGGGGAAATGTTGCAGACTGATGAGTATTTGCATTTCTCTTTATATGCACCGCAAAAGCCAAACCCTAAGAAATGCCATGATAACCTGGCCAAAACAGAACTCGTTGGCAATGGTACAAAGATAATAAGGGGAACAATTCTGGCTCAAAGCGACTAACATTGAAAGCAGCATCCTCTTTGTTTCCCCATGGCAAAATTTCTCTACTTGCAACTCAGATTTCTGTTCCACAGCAATGCATATCTTGTGAAGATCAGGAAAAAAACCCACTCCCTGTGTTGCGGGAGGCATAGCAATAGCAAGTGGCACTCATACAACTAAACTAATTCTGCAGCCACAAGAACTCCCATGCTGCTTTAAAGAAGTGATTTTCCTAACATTGATTAACCTCAGCAGCCTGAACCAGTGGGAACATTGGAGAATATTGATGAGAATGCACAATCGCATCTTATGGCATCGAATATAAAATCTACCTTGACTAAGGAACATCATCACTACTGACATTTAATACTTATGAGATGTTCTACCAGCTTAACAGATGAAGGGGAAACATCCCAGTCTCTTCCAACTCCTGAATACATCACAAAAAACCCTCACAGTCCTGTTTATCTTAACCAAAATGAAGAGCAACAGTGCTCTGCTTCTGGGTCTTTTCAGATATACCTTCAGGGTATGCTTTGAATACTGGTATCAAAAGCCTTGAAGGCAGAAGAGTAAGACAGAGCTGTATGGTTTCTTTGTACCCTGGGAAAAGAAAGCTGGACCAACTTCTCCCTTCTTACCCATTTGTGGTTTAAATGGCCTGCAGCTGGAAAACATCAATGTACTTACTCCTACGTTAATGAAGGCACACTCTACAAGATATGGTATTAGACTAAATACTGGGGTGAATTCCTAGAATGAACCAAAAGAGCAATGACAGAGCAGAAGTCTCAGATGGTAAAGAAGTTTTATACAAAAAATAAGAAAGGCTACCTCATTATGAAAGTTTGATTACACAGAACTGTTTACATCCAGCAACTGAACAGACACAAAATGTCTAAGTGCACTTTGCACTGTGTTGCAGTTACAATATCCTAATAGGCACAAGGATACCTTTCACAGTAAGACTAGGAGATTCTCCTGACAACAATAGTCTTTTCAGTGCTCTCCCCTATTCAACATCAGCTGCAACAGTGCTTAGAAACTCCCAAGACATGGCACAAAATAAATGTAACTTGCTGCAGATAGTATTTTCTCATAACACATGAAAAATTTACAGGCTTTCTAAGCGCTGCAAGTTATGAAAAAGGAATTACAATTCTCTTTCATTAACACTAAAAATACCTTTCACCAACTTGAAGCTATTCAGTCCTGGCAACCAGGTCCATTCAGTGAAAAGGCTATTATTCTGTGCCTAATCAGACAAAGATTCCTCCCCAGCATGTAGATAAAAGGGATAGGCTGTCATCCGTAACTACATAATATCTCTGACTGAAAGCAGTCATCCTGAATTTTGTTTGATCACTTTCAGAAGAATATTAAGGCTGCCCAGGGAAGACATTACAGCAACTTTCTTCAGTTAGTTTTCTCAGTGGGTTGAGATCATGGCTCTCCCTGCTTTCCAGGTACAGTAAATGAACACCTACATAAAATTATCCTTTAGCCTTTCAAAGCCAAGTAACTCTGGCCATTTCAGAGTACGCTTGAGCTAACACCACAGCTTATAGCACCAGTCCTACCTTTGATCCAAACCATTACCTCCCTACCCCAAAGCAAAGCTTTATATAGCTGTGAAGACAAAGGGAACTGAACCTGATTAAAGCCAGCCCAGCCAAGAAAAAAAACCAAACATCTCTGCTTACACTTTCTTCACTTTTTTCTTTATATATATTTATTTATATATAGAGAGATGAGCAGTCACTTATCAGTCCTACTCCTCAATCTTACTTTCAGTCCTAGTTCTATTTTGGTTTGTCTATGGTTTTAAAGCTTTATTTAAGCAATTAACAAAACTGTGGTAGTGTAGCTTGTAGAACAAGATACTGTACTCTGCTATAGCAAAAAATTACAGATCTTGTATCTTTGGAGAGATCTATAACATGCCCCCAGACAGCAATTCAGAACAGGAATGAAATATGAATTATGAATAAACTCTTGGAGAAGCACCTCAATTATAAGCAATGATTAAAGAGACCTGCACCAATTACAGTGTCCTAAAGTTACCTGATGTGAAGCCCTTTCCACTTGTAGTAACAACTTACTGTGTTGCTATTTACAGTTACATGTATGGGCTCTAATGCATAGATTTAAGTTCCTGGCTACAAAATGTTTGACAGTTTCAAGATCTAAAACCAGGTGATCAAAATTATTCACTGAAAAGCTGGAATCAGCCGTGAATTTTCACTTTGCTGATGTGATGGAATTTTTTCTCTAGGGTACTTCAAAATCTTTACAAAGTCACAATTTCAGACTAAACATGTCTTATTTGCATATAAAATGCTATCTTTCATAATTCACATTCCCCTGAAAATATCCCCAGAAGCTGGCTAGGATATTCACCTTAGAACTTAGTAAGCTGATCCATCTGATCTTCACAAGTCTAACTTAGAAGTATCACACAACGATTTTATGTCCATTGTGGTTGCAAGTATCTTCTTTTGTTATTTAACATACATTTTGGTTTACCAGAGCATCTTTTGAAAATGCACAATACACATACGTCAATATGATTTAAACACAGAATTTCAACCAGAAGCCTATGATAGCCTGGTTAGAGACACAAGAGTTTTAGGCATGAAATAATGCCTATGATTGTGTAAACATGATCACATTTAGATTCAAAACTTGTTTCAGTTCTAGTACATCTGCTTTAACAAAGCCGACTGTAAGCAGTTACAGTTAAGACTTTAGAGATAATAGGGTATATATTTCAATACTCAGTGACAAGTTGTTTTTAACAGTAATTTCTGTTAACATAGCTACAAGAGAAAGTTTTACATGAGAGTGATTATCACATCTCTCAGTCTGGTTACCTTTCCATTTTAAAAAGAGTTTTCACCCACACCCAGAAGTTACATTTTTAATTTTCAGTTTCTTTGAACATTTTGCTCAGCTGTTCAACTAGTGCTACAAGCTCAGGGTTTCCCCCAAGTGATTCAATTTGTTTATAAGCTTCAGATTCAAGCTCTTTCAATGTATTCCGAGTGTACTCAAAGGAACCAACATTTTCAAGGTAATGCACACAGTATTTTTTTATATCTATGTTCTCTGTCCTTTGACGTAAGATGTTTTGCACCTGAGTACTTTCAGGTCTTGACCAAATTGCATGAATGGTTGGGAATGAGAACTTGCCCTCAGTTAAGTCTTCACAAAAACTCTTGTTCTCACTATATTCTTTGGAGTGCAAGTTGGCATAATCATCTCTTATTTGGAAGAAGAGACCAAGTGTGTTAAGAAGTGGCTTTAAGTCTTTTTTATAATTTGAGAACAGCTGCATGAGGCCTACAGCTAATCCAAAGAGACCACCTGTCTTTTGCAGTACCATAGCTTTATATTCAGCCTCTGTAGGACAGGTGTAAGTATCCCTCCAGTAAATGTCCAAGCCTTGACCTTTATGGAGTTCCAAAAGTTGGCGGGTAAAAACTTTAACAGCATCTGGATGATCGAGGGTTAAAACCTTCTCCAAGCCAAGAAAATACACATAATTAGCACAGTTGATTACAGATGGAATTCCATAGATACTGTGTGCCACTGGAAAGCCCCGTCGTAGCTTTGAGTTATCTTCAATATCATCCACAAGTAGGCTTGCATTGTGCAACATCTCTGTCACTTCAATGATAACCTATTATAAGAAGAGAAAATTATTAAGTCTGACATTGTAATTTAATACCCCGTTTTGCAAGACCTTATTTAAAATTGATAATGTTTTAAAGAAATATATTCTCTATCCCTGAGGTTCCCCTTTAGACCACTTGCTTTTACTATTAGTACAGATTTATGATTCTCTTCATCAGCCAGTTTGCTCTAAGTCCTAGATCATGTGGTCTGTCTTTTGTACACTGTTTTCAAATTCAAAGTGAACTTACTCCCTGAAGTGTTTCCATTTGCATGCCTCTCTTCATTGTTGCTACAGTTCTAAAACAGCCATTGTCTAGAAGTCTGTTACTAGAAACATGATTAGGGGAAAAGAAAATAAACAGTGTTTTCAAACATTTAGATTCACTAACCTCAAATCTCCCCAGGTCAGTTCTTGAGAGTGTCAGGTATCATCCATTATCCCATGTCTCATAAACCTTGTTTTGATAAGCAGAGAGAGTTCATCTTTCTTTTCCCACACTTCGTGTGGTTATCTTCAGTACTGAGCTCTTAAAGGACAGACTATGCTCTCTGAAACATCATTTGGAAAATTCTTGGCAGAAAGACAACAGCTACAATATCTTTTGGGAAGCTTCCTACACACTTACTACTTGTTACTAGGTAGACCAATATCATACACCACCTGAGGTGTGCAATAAACTCTTCAGAACATCAGGTTTCTAGCTGACTAGGAGTGAACCTTAACATCTCAACAAAAAATGAAGAGACTTAACACTATACACTGCTTTTATAGCACAGCTGTTATGCAATCAACAGGTATATTCAGCAACTGCTTAAACAGAAATAAATTTAAGCATATAAAACTGCATACTGTATAAACACTGCAAAACACATCTGATTAAGATATGATTTTAAAGCTAATGAACCAATTACACTTGCTAGCTACAAACATTGCACTCAGTCAACATTCATCAAAACAACTTCTAAAAAAATACTAAGGCCACCATAAAATAGTAGCAAATACCTACTATGGTCCTATAGGACAAAATATTAAGGACTTTGCTATAAGCATTTTTTTGGGCAGCAAGCCACCTGATGTTCAGTGACCAATGTCCCAAAGATTAAAACCTAAACCCCAGGAATTTAATTGCTTTTCCAAGATATGACTGCAAGAACAACATACTTAACCCTCATGACTCACCAACCAGGAAGAAAGTAAGCCCTACTTGGACCTGTCAAGATACATTGTTGACCATTGACTTAAAAATCAAAGGATAGAGCACTTACTGAAGGCAACTCCATATACCTATTTGTTTGAATATTCTTTTGGTCCACTATCTCATTCTCAGTACTATCAGGAAATGTTCTATGTGTTTTATGAATTCCTTGGATAAGCTTATTCCAGCATTTCTCTTGCTAACCTATTTCATATCACTGTCAGTTTCATGATCCCTTGCAGCGTCTATACATTTAAGATTTAATGGAAACAGTGCTTCATGATTCTGTGTTTGAATCGAGTTACCTAGTGAACTTAAGACAGTGTCAAAAATGCTTCAAAGGTGAAAGTAAGGAGTGAAATAGCTCATATAGCAGAAAAAGCTTATTTTATAAGACATCAGGAAGCAGCCCAAGAAAATGAAAAGACTGCTCTTCATAATGACAGCTGAAGACCCAGTACAGAGTGTTATATTTTCTTACAGCCTAAACTATCTAATCAGTACCTGCTACACTATTAGTTCAACACACAGATTTCTTCTACTCCTTATCTGCAATAGCTTTAAAATTTGGTTGACCCTGTACTAGGCCATTTCAGTGCTTTCTTAGGAGAAAGTTCCTCTGACAAACCCAGTGTTCTCTAATTCAACAAGCTGGAGTCTCTCAGTGCAGCACCAGATTGGTACAAGAAATTCAGTGAGTGCTGGGGGTGAAGAGACCACTTGGCTGGGGAAAAAAGTGAAATGGTGGCAGTCAATAGTAAAATAAACTGCCGAGGAACAGTAGCCTCAACTGTATCATTTGACTAAACTACATAAAGACAAATAATCTAAGGTAAAAAAAAAAAAAAAGTCCCAGAATAAATGCCAGAATTCAGATTTCTAATAAAAGAAATACAAATAGCTGGAAGGGAAGCAGGCTGTTAGACACAGGGGACATCTTAAGAAGATTATGGGAGATGTCAAAAAGATGACCAGAGGTAGTCCTCCAGACCTCAACCATCATTAGTTATTAAAATTAGTACAAGAATGCACAAAAGCTGTAATAAATGGGTCAGGATGCAGATTAAAAGATGACAGGGTCTTGGTTTTGTCCTCAAAGGCCCTGAAGAATAAAAATACCAAGTTCCATCACAAACAACTTAAGTAGTAAAGGAAACATTAAAGCATTGGTTTTCCTCAAAGATAATCAAAAGAAGTGGTCCAACTTCTCAATAATAGTTACATGAGCATCAGTTTAAACTAACAGAACTGGTAACTTCTGTTCATACAGAGGCACTGCAGCTTTAGTTTACTGTATCACTAAGCAAAAATGGACCACACTGTCATGGGTGCTCTGCAAAAGGGCAAGAGGCAATTGTCAGACTGTAACATAAAGAAATCCTAGTTGAACAGAATGGAAGGCTTTGTTATAACGGAAGGAGTTCAGCATGAGAAGACTCACCCTGGGAATGTGAAGAAACTACATCAGATTTTCAAACTCAACAAGGCTCCCAGAAGCCTAAAGTAGCTACAGAGCAAGCCCTGCTTTAAGAAGAGGGTTGTCCTAGGTAAATTCCAGAGGCTCCTTTCAATTTGAATTCTGATCTATGATATTAGACTAAATCAACACATGCAATACACAGGTTGCTATGTTTTATTTGGATATATATCTGAGCACAAAGGGTAAGATGTGTCTAGCTGAAAGACAGAATAAATCTGGCTAAAGAGTTATATAGATAGATTGAAAAATAGAAGAATTGCTAGATTATGAATGCAGACTCTTAAACCACTTTGCTACTTGAGGGCTATGAAGTGTCACTCTTCAGCCACTCTAAAAATGACTCCTTCACAAACTCTAAAGGTACTTCTGCCAACCATTAATGACATTAACAAGGGACCAGCGGGGTAAGGGTCAAAAACCACAACTGATTATTTTAATTCCTTACATTGTCTTGGACACAGAATATTTTGCACTCTCTATATGCAGTTTAGCAAAACTGCAGTCTAACCTAACACAGAGGATAATTTTTCATTTGACAAGCCACAGTGTTTAAATACACAACCATGCACCTTGCACAATTCGCCCAACAGAAAAGCAAAAGGGAACAAGAATTCCTAGTGTAATGCTTCTCATTAGTAAGTAAGGACTGGAGACTGTATGATATACCGCTCACGGTTTTGGGTTTGTAAAGTTGATTTAACTGCTGTCTTTGATATTCTTGAATCAAAATCTCAAGATTTTATTTTCAACCACTACATTTACAAGATAACTGTCTAGCTTCTTTCATAAGTCATTAAAACCCTCAGTGTTAGTAACTGAGTTATGCAGGTATCACTGTTACCCACTTATCTACTTCAAAGGTTTAACACACTTAGAAAAAAGTAACTATTCTACATAAGACATGCAAGTGATTTCTTTAGTGTTGCATCATAGTAAAAGCCTTGTACGAGAGTTGTTTTCCTGAAAGCTTACTTCATACTCAGAGAATAGTGCATTTAAGACTTCTTACAATTTATGCTAACTACTAGAATCATCTGTTATCAGTAATCTTGGAAGAAAAATAACAACCTTTTAAAAATAATTAGCCAGTACCTGTATTTTATCTTCCGGAACATTCAGCCAGTGATTAAAGGCCTGTGACAGTTTGGTTCTCACTTGCTTACCTACAATAAAAATATTATAGACATTTATAAAAATAACAAAGTTCATTATTAGGGACAGTTTGTCTTAACAACTAGAGCTGACTTGAGACTTGATTAAAAAAACCTGATCAGTGTGATGACCCAAAAGTGGAAAATATATCACTGCATAGCTTGTTTCTTCATTGTATAAACATCAATTAGCAGCAGTTTCAGTTTTAAACACTTCACAGTAATATGCAAGGCACATATTTACAGGTTACTATATTTAGTTTTGACAGTTTAATTAGTAAGGGATCCCGAGTATGTTGGTAACCTGTACAGATCAGCTTGCTACTTCTGAAAGTAAGCCCTAGTTTGTAAGGAATGTTCAAGATTAAAATGTTTCAAGTATGATTCATTATTAGTGAAAGTATGGGTATTTGTTGAACATGTACATCTCTCAATTTTTAGTTCTTTCTCACGTAGTATTCTTCACTTGCTACTGTAAATTCATAAAACAGGAAACTGACATTTCATATACTTACTAAATAACTCTAAACAAAAATCTGGACAGAACATTCCAAACAGAATAGAACTTTCCAAGAATTCAGATATTTATCTTACACCCAAGAAATCTGCCTACAAATAATAGGATTTGGTCTGCTTTAGTTAAATCTACTTTGTTGGAGTCAGGCAGTCACCCTGTTTCATAGGAATGAAAGACAACATCAAATGTCCAAGTTTAGTGTCAAAATAAGCAGTATTGTTTCATCCAGATGCAATTTATATGACAGAGTTAATTTCAAGAGAAGTAAAACTCTACGTCTATGAATTGTTGATACCAGCTTTCTTTAATAATTGGTTAGTATTCAGGTACAAACATTTATTCAGTGTCTACTGATGTTCAATATAAAATGAAGTCTTCTCCTACCCACACTGAGACAATTCTGCTCTGAACTTTGAGAAGCTCAGCTATGTATAAGATCTTCGAACAACTTAAGACAGGTTTAGAAAAACAGCTCTGCATACGTAGCTCACATAAGGAAGGCCTTTGAAAAAAGCTTTAAATAAACTTCAAAGCAGTGCAACATAGACAGTGGGTTTCATATTACTTGTCTCAATATCTACTGAGACATTATAATTCTGCAATATTTGTCCTGCTGTTGATAATTCCATCTTGCCCACAGCACCAAAAAAATTTCAACATTTGAATCTCTCCCTAAGGCTTCTCTACTGCTGTGTGACCAGCACATACAGAATAGAATAATAAAAATGGGTAAATTCTCTTGCAGTGATATACCCTGGAGAAACCAGACTGAGAATTTTTCATCTTCTAATTAAGTCACCACCAGGTAAGCAATAGCTTTGTGGGTTGGGCTCTGTAGCAAGGATGATAACCTTCTTTCCTGGATCAGAGGTCTGAAATTTTTGTCTCCATTCTCAATCATTTCCAGTGCTTTCTGTCACCACTATCCTTTTATTTTCACTAGAAGAGACTAACAAAATAGTCCTTTCCCCCCCCAGTAGCTTTGTCCTCTGGTTCTGTCCAGTGTGAAAGAGCATTCTTACCTAGACATACACAGTCATTGGCCTGTTTTCTCCATTGTTTTCTGTGCTCAGTTTTAAAGACTAATAGCTTCCTGCAGAAGAGAGGGATTGTTTTGTCTCTCCTTGAAAACAACTGTTACAAACATCTGCCAAACTGTAGAGCTTGCCAGTTAAGTACTAACAAATATTTCACTACATTCATAAAGAAAACCACTCAGAGATAATATCGCATTAAGGAAGTGTACCTTATCTATAACTGTTTATTCACTTCTAAATTACATTGATACAGACAACACTTAATTCTGTTTTTCTGAATGTGTCTCCTAGAAAATATGCTTACAGAATGCTGGATGTTCAGCAACAAGCATTATTTTATCATGAGGAACTTGACTACTAGCACACACTTCAAATGGATTAGTAATATGCACAATGGATTTTGCCACTTCAGTTCCTTAGTACAGACAGCATTTGAATTGTTAGACTCGTCTATCTTGACTAACATGGTTTCCTAGACACTGACTATTCAAGGAAAAAACACCGTGTAGTGAAGCAATTCATCTTCCTTTTATAGGTGCAGATTTGCTTGTCTTCTAAAGGAACATTATTGCTACAAAAATGCCATTTTATCTTGTTCTGAAGTCAATCTCACCTGGCCTATGTGATAGTACAGCAATTTTCTGTATGCACATTTTATGCCTGCAGCCATGCTGCAATGGCAAAAGACCAAACCCCTCTAATGCTGGTCTCTAAAGCCTAGATGCAGAAGACTCTATTCCTTGCCACACCTCTCCTCTCTCCAAACTAGACAACAATAGAGAACACTAAGACAAAGTTAAAATGAGCACTGCAGAATTATCTAGTTTCTTCACTGTCATTTGTCACTGCTCTGTTAATTATTCTAAGCAGGCTATTGTAAAATTGAAGAATAGAGGTCTAACATCCAAAATTAGAAGCTCTACCTACTGTATAGAGATATAATAATAGACGTTACTGCATCAAGCTTTTATCAAAGGTATGTTACATGCATTTGGTTTAATCTGCCTAAGATTATTACCCAATACTACCCAAATTGAACAGCAACTATGAAAATCTTTTCTCCTTAGTAATGCTGGGTGGAAAAGGTGAGGGGAAAAAAAAAGAAGAATATAAGAGATTCAATCTGATGGAATTCCTTCTACAGATAAGAATGTTAAAGCTTTATCCTTAAAACAAATATCAAGTCAGATTAAAGGTGTACTGAGGACATTCCCTCCACTTCTTCAGATGAGATGCTTCTCATCTAAAAAACAAACAAAAAAAATTAATCAGCCAACTCACTCTCTCTCTCTTCTCCACAGCTGTCCTTGTGACAGGGAAGATCCAAAACCCACAGACCTCCAGCTCTGGACAGACTCCTGGTTAGTATTTTTTCACTCTCACTGCATTAAAGTAACAATAAATTACACCCTTAAGGCAGCACCCCACTTACAGAGAGGGTACATAAAAGGGCTAGAACAGCATGGGAAAGAGCAGAGGGACTATTAACCTAGCCTCCATTACAGCCTCACTAAGCTAATTCAACTCATTAGCCCAGCAGAGAACTCTGCTTTTTGCTAGGTTAGCTTTCTGCCAGCTTTACGTACTGAGTCAGCTTATGCAGTGGATCTACCAGAGTCAGTACAGGGTGAGCAGCAGATGCTGAGGACCAGAGAAAGGGGCATTGCCCTTCTGGAGGAAGCAAGCTACTATACTACCTCTGCTATATTGTACACTGGCACGTTTAGCTGCGTCCTTAGATGGATTAAAACTAAATGGATGAAGCCCCCAAGCAGACCTCCCCAAGCAGCTACAAAGAACACTACAACCAGCATAAACAAACTGCAGAAGAAAAGCAAAGAGAGCAGGCATATACACTTTTAACCTGGGCAGCCACTTGTAACAAATTAAGGTCACTGACAGAATTCTCTAGCTGAACTTCCCTGTTCATAATAGGGTTAACCTGTCCACAGTTGTGATCCTGATTTTTGCCTTGTTCCTTCTCACAATCCTGAATGCCACTATCCCATGGTCACTACAGCTAAGGTTGCCTCCAGTCTTCATGTCCTAACCAATTCTTCCTTGTTTTCAGTGTGAAGTCCAGCATAATGCCTTCTTTAATCAGCTCCTTGATCACCTGTGGTAGCAAGAGGTCAACAATGCATTACAGAAACCTTCTGGATTGCCTGTGTCCTGCTGTGTTGCTTCTTCTACCAGACAGTGACGTAACTGAAGTCTCATAAGAATCAGGGCATGTAAATATGAAGCATCTTACAGTTGTCTGAAGGTCTCATTTGCTTCTTCCTGCTCAGGGGGTCTATCGTAAAGACTCAATATAGTGTCACCCTTATTGATCTGCCCTCCAGTCTTAACTCATCAGCTCTCAACAGGCTCATCTGACTGAAAGTACAATTCCATGCAATTCAGCTGCTTTTTCACAAAAAAGGCAACTCCCACTCCTTGCTATCCTAGGCTGTCTTCCTAGGCAGTCCACATCCATCCATTGCAGCACTTTAGCTGTGTGAGCTATCGCAATCAGACACTCCAATAAAATTACTGCCAACCTCTAACCTCTCCTGTGTATTCCCAATAACGTATGTATTTGTGTAGAGGCACTTCAGAGGCATCCAATCTTGCAGATTCCTCAGAAAAAGTCAGAGCTTCCCCTATCATGTTGTTCTGTTCGTACTTGTTGGAGTGCTGGGATGGTCTGCTTTCAGCTCTGAGATTCCAAGGTGTCTCTTGTTCAAATCAGCCTGTACCCTTTGTCCACAACTTCACTAATTCCTCACTTGACTGTGTAGTCAGTTTCTTTTACTGTCATTTCTAGTTTAGTCCCTTCTCACATGTTGCTCAATCTGTTAGCGGAGACACTTGTGTCCTGACATGGGTAGGTGGATGCTATCTCCTCGTGGTAGTCCTTGCTCTATAAAGGGAGTCTCATGGCCATAAGATGCAAAGCTCTGCTATCAACATGAGCTGTGCAACTAACTAGTTGTTGACAGGCAGTATCTCTTTATTCCTCTAGACAGTGAGGGGAAGGGGGTTGAGGATCATGGAGAAAAGCCATGTGGCTTCCTGTGCCCTTGGTTCTCATTCCAAAAGCCACATAGTCTTGCTTGATAAGTTTCAAGCACCCCCTTGCTATATCCATTACTGCTTCATTAGAAGAGTTGCAAGGTTAAGTATTTTAAGGGTGAAACACCTTGGCAGTCCGTCCATAAGATCAGAGGTACCCAAAAACAGCAAACCTCCCTAATACACAACCACATGCGGAAGCCTCCATCCCCTGCAGGAGTCAGTGTCTCCACTACTATCACTTGCTGCTGCCCTAGGTGCTGTTCTGATGCTTAGTTGTATAAAATCATAGAATCATTTAGGTTGTAAAAGATCTATACAGAACTTCCAACCATGTGTCTTCTTACAGTGCACTGAACCTATTTGGCAATTGCACATCTGCTCAAGGAACAGGAATCTTTCTCCTGGTGCCAGAAGCCATCAGTTCCACAGTTCCCAGTCTTCACCACTGTGGGAGTATCCATCTCCCAACCTGATATGCACAGACTATTCCTGCTCCTCCTTCAATATACCTGGACATTTCAGACTCCTGAATATGTAGTGTCTTGTAATTTTTGTTATTTCTGATGCTGTGCAAGCCTGCTGACCCCCTTCCACTGCTCCTTTGCTTGATGACACACTTTTTCCACCACTACATACCTTTTAGGGGCAGGGATATCACTTGTTTCTGGCCAGTGGGTGCCCCCAGGCACTCCTGCAGCTCAGAATCTAGAGAGCTGCAGCCTCCATGAGGAACTTGGCCCAAGCTGAGGCCTCTGATATGCCAAGCACAGTTGTGCCAGTGGTAGGGATCATGCCCTGTGGTGCTTAACTCCTCCACCAAGCTGGTCAAGTTCAACAACCCAGCACAAAAAGCTGAACAACAAAAGCCAGTCCTGATTGTTTAGCTTGCTGAACAAGCCCATGAAAGACTGCAGCTAAGACCAGAGGGATATGAAAGGGAAGATGCAGTCATGAAAGGGATCAGAATTTACCCCTTTCAACAGCAAGCTGTTGACCATATCAGTTTTATGGCAAATGAAGTCCCATATACTCCTTAGTGCTGCACAACCAGCTACTGCTGTTAACTCAGACAGGCAGAAATAAAAGATTCATCGTGAGTATGAATCAGGCCATTTTTGAGACAAACCACAAGGGAATTTGGGAAAGTCAATCCTGCACTTTATGAGACTAAATACTAGATTAAGTAGAACATTGCTAAAAACTAGTATGGCAATGTTCTCCTACAGTGAGATTTTACAAGAAAAGTTACTGTTTCAGAATTCTTCTCCTAAGCAATAATTTCTGCTAGAGAAGGAATAAACATTAATTACCATACTAGCAGTTAAAAATAGCAATATAGTAAAAATACTTTAATCCTAGTAACTTCCCAATCCTAGTGCTGTTGAAAGTCAAAGAAATATACAAGCTTACTTTATGTATTACCCCCAAACCATTACTATTAAAAGTCTTATTTCTGTAATGGGAATATAACTCCTTGTATTGAGGGGTTAATCCTTAGCACTTAAAAAATTTGTGTTCTTACACCACAGACAACATTAGCAGGCACCTTCCCTCCCCTCCTCCCAACCTTAATACTGTTACAAAATCCCTCTTCATGTAAACAAAGTTTGATATGTATCTAAATTCATTCACTCATAGGTTACTAAACTGCTTGGAGAGTTTGTTTAACTAGTCTTACAAGATAAGCAACTGGACTGTACAACTGTAAGCATACATATTTGACACTTAGCCAAGCTTCCTGCAAAAGCCCCTCAGAGCTCAAACTGATCCAACACAGAAACAGCTCCTTGTCCCTAACCTTTTGCCAGCTCACTAACAAGACAAGAGATTAACCAGGCAAGTTTTTAACAAGTTAGGTGGTTGGTACTACCTAATAATTTGATTAGCAAGCTGAGAACTAGCACAAGTTAAGCAGCAGAATACTTCCAGAAGCATAGAGGATAGAACGAAACTGTCTCTTTCAGCAAGAGCTTCTTAGATTAGCTCAGGCATTTCATTTGGCTTCCACCCTATTTATAAACAGCACCTATATGCCCATTTTTTTCCTGCTTATCAAGCTTTAGTGCTCATACTAACTCCAATGTTCACACATATAGCTTGGTCCTACTGATTCATACTTGGCACAGCTGATTTGAGGCAACGCCGGTGTTTCAAAAACAGTAAACACCAGCTATATGATTGTGAACCCTCACTGCTTCAACTGTTACTCAATACAAACTTTCCACAGGTACACCACTTTCATCTGCCTAGTTTAAGAGAATTCGTCTCTTTTGAGTCACACCTCCATTACTGCATAGAGAAAAGTGTGTCTTGTTTCTCACCTTCTCCGAATTAAGTAGAAGTCACCATGGTAAAGCGGACTATCAGATTTATGATTCTTTAGCAGGACAGGATATAAAACACCTGCACTGCCTGCAAGTGTAATATTACATAAACCACCAGTATAGAGTGATTAGGGCTGAACTCACCAAGTAGAGGAATTTAGCCACAGGACTCAAAGTGGGAAGGTTAAATGTATATTCTAGATGCATCGTTTAAAGTGATAGCTCTTCAGTCAGCTTTTAGTCAATCACTTTTGCCTAAAGAAGCTTTTTTGGGCACTTTGTGCCTCTTGTATATTTCCTACTAGGAAGCTGAGCTTTTTTTCTTTATCTACAATAGCTCTAAAAATAATTAGCAGCTAAAGATGCAAAGGTGTCACAACATACCTTGGTTAATGAGATAATCTAACCAAACAAAAAGTACATTTAAAGATGGTGTTGGAGGAAAGTCAATTTCTTCAGGACCACGTCTGAGAAAGCTCTCTGGAATATCACAAACTCTTTCTCAAGATAGTTCTCTAGAAAGACCACCACCCAGTTCAACACAGGCAAAAGGAATACATGTGAGGAAATGGGAAATGAACTTTCTGGCATTAAAAAGGCATGCAACTGCCAAATTCTTTCCTTTTCTTAGCTTTAACTCAGTGCTAACTGCCAAGTCAAATGAAATCACTAATGTAAGCAAGAAAACCCTGGATATTTGCAGAGATTAATAATGAATTTCATTATACATAGGTATAATGAATTAGGACCCACAGGGCTCACCCTGCTGATATACAGGTCTTGCTGCAGATGTGCAAAAGCCACTTAGTACTGTGCCTCTGATTTATAGTGCTACTTGTCCAGGCAGAAGGTCTTCTACCCTGGTCACATATAATTTTGATCACGATTATTTTCCTTAATATTTACCCATATTTTGTATCTTCCTTAACTCCACCAGCATGCAGTATAAACTAGACAGAAGGCAACCAGGTAATTATGCAATAGTTCCAATGACAAAGTTGTTCTGTCAGTAATTTTACAAAATTAGTCACTTTGATGGCTTGTATGGTCTGCATTACACTTTAAGTGTACAAGTAAAAGTCACAGCAAACAATCTGACTTTTTAGTCAGAGACTTCCAAGAGGCATACGATATAGTTTGCTATCAAACTGCCTCCTGAATTCTGCTACATAAGTATGATTCAAGACTAAAAAGTTCACGTGAATGTATTGCTAGTAACCTGATACTACACAAGGACCGGTCGCACCTCTCACAAGTGAAGCAATCTGTGGACAGCTGAAATTGGCCATAAGAACCCAGCTCTATGCATACCAGGGAGAATAAGTTACGCAAGAGAAACAGGTTAGTACAGAAAAAAGCCCCACCAACAAAAAACCCCCAAAGAACCTCCAACCAAACAGAAAACCTTAAAGAAAAACCTTCAAGCAAAATCCACAACCCACTGAGTTCAGTACAGCAAGCAGATAAAGAACAAAACACTGAGTTTAAGAATACAATTAAGTCTTCAGTACTTGCCCTTACCAGTTTTTAAAGTAGCAAGTCAGCTTTTCTGAATGGAGAACTTACACTAGAAACAGACTCAAGAGCTACTCTACCAATCTCACCAAAAGGGTGGTTCTACAGGAGGAGGAACAAATACTGGAAAGCATTACTTTTTATTACTCTTAAATCCACAAATCAAGAACAGATAAACTTCTTGGTTTATATTTCCCAAGACAAAAGTTGCTATAAAACCAATTTTGATATTTGCAAACAACACGCTACAAAGAAACTTGCCTGGTAGTTGAAGTAAATACTGGTATGGCTCTAAGATTCTTTTAGATGTTTCATCCATCCCATCCATTTCTTTATTTTGTAAGAGGTAGTTCACTGTTAAAGAAAGTGTTATTAACATTATTTAGATCAAAAATTAGGGAAGTAAACAATAGATGCATATAATTAAGTCAGGTGACTTCCAGGTTAGGTAAAAATACTCCCTTTTTGCACATCACACCTTCAGTTAATACTACCTTCAGTAATAGAAACATGCATATGTATTAAATACAGTTTTCTTTAATTATTCATGAATAGTTTAAACCAACCCCTAGACTTCATTCACTCCTTTATATGTATTAGAGGGCTTAGCTGACCAAGTATTTCAAACATTACCATTCATAACAATGAAGCTCCAGTTCAAGTCTTTAAAGACATTTGCAGCAAACCACACATACAAACTTATATAAAGACACATATACAAAACCTCATACGTCTAATCTGATTAGATCTCCCTAAATGCTTTCCCCATACAAAAGTGGAGATGCCTAAGAGCAGAAAATACACCTCAGACCAAGGCAAACTAAAGAACAGTAGCTTCAGTCTTCTGATAGAATTTCTCAGTCTTATCTTAGAGGCCAGAACAGAAATATACCATTCTCTTACCACCATTTAAGCATACAGACAGCTTTACACACTTTCCCATATACTATACAGTAATACTCTTATGATAAATATTTTAGGATCCAGAGCCTACAGAGCTCAACCGTTTTCTATTGATTAAATTTCATTTCACATACTTTAGTCATCTCTATCTGCATTTCTTTAGACTGTTTTCTGTAATAGATTTTCTGTCCTTTCACCTCTAGCCTTCCTTGCTGCACTGCAGATGCAGCAGCTCAAAACAATTCCTCTCATGTAATTTTAAGACAGGAACTGCAGCAGTAACAAAGTCTCATACTACTTCAGCATCATTTCCCAGTTACTTTGCTACTATCCTGTGAAGGACTTAGTTTTTTCCCCTGGAGCAACTGAATAGTTATGTAAATTATTCTCCTGATTTTGGCTAGAACACAGCCAATTTTCTTCCTAGTAGCTGGTGCAGTGCTGTGTTTTGGACTTGGCGTGAGAACACTGTTGATAACACACTAATGTTTTGACTATTGCTAAGTAGTGCTCACCCTAAGCAAAGGACTTTTCAGTTTCCCATGCTCTGCTAGGCAGCAGGTGCACAAGAAGCTGGCAGGCAGCATGGCCAGTACAGCTGACCCAAGCTGGCCAAAGGGATATTCCATACCATAGAATGTCATGCCAAGTATATAAGATGGGGGCACTTGGCCAGGAGCCACTGATGGCTGCCTGGGGCAGGGATGGGCACTAGTCAGTAGGTGGGTTAGCAACTGTACTGTACATCACTTGTCTGCCTTGGGTTTTATTCCTCCCATTATTAAAATTCACTTTATTTAAATTATTAAACTGTTATCTCAACCCTGGGTTTTACCTTTTTTTCCTGACTTTCCTCCCTATCCCACCAGGGTGGTGGGGAGTGAGCGAACAGCTGCATGGAAATTAGTTGTGGCTGGGTTAAATCACAACAAGTGTCCATGAAAATAACTATTTTAAAGTGATATTTAGAAGTATGAACTGATGCCTTTTTAATGTAGGTACACTAAGGGGAATGGTTAATGTGAATGGAAACTATGTTCCACACTTGCTCAAAATAATCCAGCAATATTTTCTCATCAAAACCTCAGAAGATTAGCATCATGATCACTCCTTCCTCTTAAGCTACCTGGACAAAGCGCTATTCCTCAACATTCATGATAGCTTTCAGTATAGCTCAGTCAGTTCCTATCTACTCCCATTCCCACCCTCCACACTCATAAGCATTTGTAGCAGTCCATACTTGGGGAATTGATCTCCATTAATAACTTTTTCCCAAGCTTAGGTTTGGATCAATTCTTCTACTTGCTTCACTACATATGTTCATCAAATGTATTGGCACTTCAGGGGCAAGACAGGCTATTTAAGCAAACATAGTTGCCAACAAAATGCTCATAAGACTACACCTTCTGGGACACCTTTGCATAGTTACTAAGCAGTGATGCCACTTATAAGCAGTATAGCCTTTCCATCTTATCCATGGTCAGGCCATGCAGTAAACTAAATCAGATTCGACACCCTTGATGCCCTATTTTGCTATCTGCTTGTTGGTGTAACTGAAGGGACAGGAACTGCTTTTAACCAGCACTGCCACTGAGAGTCAGCTGTCAAACTGTACCCTTACATATAAAGGATAAGTCTCAAAGGACTTCAGTTAGGAAGCAAAATCAAAAAGACTATCAGAATCCACCACCAGATGTTTTAAGCAGAAAGAATCTGGTAGAGATGGATATAAAGACATACTAACAACTCCCCTGCGACTATTATTTGTCAAAAAGCCACACAGATGGTGACAGAATTAAGTGCCTAGCTATCCAACTGGGCTGGGAAGAGATGTTAGGACTGGAAGTGCTCTCTTATAAAAATTTATGCTCAGAAGTACATATTAAACTTCTTCCTCCTCCCTTGGGGAATTAGGTCTCTTGCCTGTCTGTAGGACACCAAGATAATATTCAGAATCCCAAACTAATTTGAAATTCACTAGTATTATACAGCATCAACCCAAATATTTGCCTAATTCTTCACAAAACTAGTAGGAGTCCACCTGAAATATGGCTTGGCAGCAGAAAATTAGTCAGGCACTTTGCTACAAGTGCAAAGATTTTTACTTTTTTTTTTTTTTAAATGATCTCTAATGAACAAAGAGTAGATAGTAACTTAGCTTCAATCACTGTTGTTAAACTTCTCTACATTGCTATGCTACCATGAAATGAAGACTTAGGTAATCTCTGCCAAGGAAAAACAGTCTGTATTCATCAGACAGCTACATGTCTAACACACCCACTGAAACAGTGAGAATAACAATGAGCAGAACCTCCCCCAAACTTCTTCGAAGAAAGGGACACTTGATAAAGAAACACGTACATGAAATTTGTTACAAAGGCCTGTAAGCAAAAATACCATGATACGAAACTTGCAGTCTCTTTGCACAAAGTTATTACATGTGACACAATTGGGAATTACTTGATATTAAGGTTTTTCTGCAGAGGTGACTGACTGATTTGCTACAGAAGTTACACTGTTGCAGAGAGACTTCTCAGTGAAGACGTTTAGAGAGGAGATCTCAGTCACCATCTCCCACTAAAAGTGCCACGAGTTAAACAATAAGTGAAAGGGAACACAAAGCCCTTTGTTGGTGAAAGTGCAAGAGTTGATTACATGTATGCTTATTAATAGGATTAAAGCATTTAAGGCCATTTTACCTTTCGAACCAACAGACTTCCTGCGTTTCAATTCATATGCATGACTAATTTATTCTTCCAGTTACTTCTCAGTATCCCCACATGAGAATACAGAACAGAACAGAACAGCAGAGAGCCCACACAACTGTCTTTTGGACTGCAACAAACTGTCTCTCTAATGATCTCTTTAAAAACACACACAACACTAGAATAAGATGGTGACATGGGCTTCCATAATTTGGAACTACTCTAAAGCTATACCTGAAGGTGTGATCTGGGTCTAGGAGCTTTCTAGAGAGGATGAAGGCAGTATTAATTCCAGGTTACATGTAAAGAAAAAACTTCCCTTTGGAACTTTGCAAAACAGCTTCTCACTCCATCCCTCGCTTTCAATTCTGCAGAATATTCTCCCCCTCCTCCCAGGTAGGGATAAGTAATCACTGAAATAGTCCAGGTCAAATATACAGATGGTATTTTAAAAAGTATCATCATCACAGTGGCTACAGTCACAGTGCAGTTACACAGGAAATAAAAGACAACCACCAAAGAAGCAGAGACCTGTAGTGCAAAAGGAACCATCCAGAAAGTTCTTAAATCGGCTCCATCACAGAACTTAGTGCACCAAGACACGAAACCAGTGGGGGGGAAAAAAGCCCCAAATGGGGGTAGGGGGTGGGAGTGAGAAGGTCTGTTTCAGAAGGAATACACAGAAACATAATGAATGTGTATTGTTACAGAGAGACTACCAAAAGTCTTAATGCAAATGTAACCTGGACACTAGTCCATGTTCTCATTCTAACTAGCAGAGTCCCGTTTACAACCATTCCTAGGCTGACACCGAACAACATGTCGCATCCAACCTGAGGGTGGGCAACTTCCCACAAGTGGAAGGGCCGTCAGACACTTTCCCAGAAGATGCAGACAAGTAAACAAGCAGCTTTCTATGGCCGCAAATCCAACACTAACGATAGAAGGGCATGAACATAGCGTTGCTGGGATCGTGCTTCCATTTTAATGGGATTTCGAGGTATAATCGAGCACGAAGGCTTCAGAAGCCGTACAACAACAGCTGGGCCGCCCAAGTCCCCGCAGGCAGAGGGAAGGCTGCGGGCTGACCCGAGGACAGAAAGTGAGTCGGCAGAACCCGCGACCGCTGCTAGAGCGCTGCACTACCAGGTTAAAACTCACAACACCACAGCCAGATCGAAAGAAATAAGGTTAGTTTTTTTTTTTCGGAGTTCAACATGACGGACGCAGCCTCTGCAGCCGCCTCCAAAGCTCAAAGGAGGCAGCCCCGGCTCTCCAGCGCCATTTTAGAAGCGGTGAGACCGAGAGCCGAGGACGCCCCGTTCTCCCTGTCCGCCCCCATTTTCTGCGCGGCGCTGTCGGGCTCGGCCGCCGGGGAGGGCCGGGAAGCGCCGCCCGCCCGGCGCAGCCACGGCCCCGGAGCGCTCCGTCAGCCGCTCCGCCCGCCCCGCCGACGGCCGGCGCCGCCCAGCTCTACCGGCGGCCCCCCTTCGCCGGGCCCCTTCCCGGGCAGCCTGCCAGCCCCTCCTGGGCGGGGCAGGGCGGCCACGGCTCCTGCTCCCCCCGCAGCCGGGCTCGGACCGGCCCCTCCGAGCCAGGCATCCCCCCTCCCCCCCGCGCCCCCCACCAGCCACGGCCGGCTCACGGGGCAGGCAGCCTCACCTCGCCGCCTCCTCCCGAACAGCCTCCGCTCCGGGAGTGGCGGCGCTGGCGGCGGCGGTGGCGGCAGAGCCCGGGGCCGGAGCACCGCCCCCTTCCTTCCTTCCGCCCCACCGGGCGCCACCTTCCCCTCCCGGGGGTAAAATGCGCCACCGAGCGCCCCGCTGCGCACGCGCCGGTCCCGCCCCCTCAGCTCGTTAGGCTCCGCCTGGGGCTCCGCCTCCCCAGCGCGCGGTGCATCCTGGGAGTTATGGTCCGTCGCACCGCGCCGCGCCGCCTGCCCAGCACAGAGTGAGCGGAGGGCGGGAACTGCGTTCCCCATGAGCCCTCGCGGCGCCGAGTCTCAGTTTCCATAGAAGTGGAGAAGAATGATGTCAGTATTTCCGACGCGGCGGCCAATGGGACCACGCGGAGGGCGGGCTCTGCGGGCCGCGGCCCAATGGGGGAGGCGGGACGGGGGGCGTGGCCCGGGCCCTGCGCCCGTCAGTCAGTCAGTCCGTGCGGAGGGGGAGGGGGACGGAGTCGAGCAGTCACCGTCGCCGCCGCCGGGGCCGCGTAGGACGGATCGGCCCCTCTGCGCGCCGTGCGGGGCCGCCGCCAGCGGAGCCGCTGCTGGAGCGTCGAGTGGGGCCGGAGGTGCCCGGAGCTGAGAGGAGCCTTCTCCCCGTTGCCTTCCGTGCCCCCCGCCTCGGGCCGGGGGAGTAGCGGGCGGGCGGTCGACGCGGAACAAAGGTGAGGGCGCCGAGCCGGAGAAGGAGCCCCCGTGCCCTGCCGTCGGCGGCCGGGGAGGCGGCTCGAAGCCCCGTGGGGGCGCGGGGCCGGGCGTGCGGCGGAGAGAGAGGGAGGGGGGCGCTTGTTTTTCTCCTCGTAGCGAGACTGCGGCGGGACTCGCCGATCCTCCTTCTCCCCCATCCCGCCCCAAACAGCCACCGGAGGGCCGGGGGGGAGGGACTGGCGCCTTCTCCTTCAGCCCCTCGGCCGGGAGGGGACGGAGCCCCCTCCTCCACACTCGCACACACGCT